ACACTCACATTCAGACAGACACATGCACACACACTGACATACAGACCCACAAAAAATTTAAAGGAAGGAAGGAAAGAAGGAAGGAAGGAAGGAAGGAAGGAAGGAAGGAAGGAAGGAAGGAAGGAAGAGAGGGAGGAGGGTGTGAGGGAACAAACCAGAAGAGGAACCAGAGAGATCCACTTACTCCCTCTGTTCAAAGACCCCAGGTCAGAATGCAGTATGCCTTCAGACCTGGCATCCCCAGGTTCAAGAGATTCCTTTTCCACCTGTCTGCCACCAAGAGCTGACATATTGCTTAATTGAATTATCTTCCCTCTTCCCTCCTTTCTTCTTGTCCTGTGTAACTTTCTGGCCCATGCCATTGGCAGAACAAACCCAAAGGTTACATCAACTAAAATAAGATAAAAATGTGAAAGGAAGCCATGACTTATAACAGGATACCTGTTGCTATATGTTAGGGCAGGTGTCTTAATAGCTGTTCTGTTGCTGTGAAGAGATACCATGGGGCTGGAGAGATAGCTCAGAGGTTAGGCTGCTCCTCCAGAGGTCCTGAGTTCAATTCCCAGTAACAACATGGTGGCTCACAACCATCTGTAATGAGATCTGATGCCCCCTTATGGCCTTCAGGCATACACACAGGCAGAATACTGTATACACAATAAATAAATAAGTCTTTAAAAAAAAAGATACCATGACCAAGGCAACACTTATAAAAGAAAACATTTAACTGAAGGCTGGCTTACAGTTTCAGAGGTTTAGTCCATTATCATCATGGCTGACACTGGGTTTGGCATGGACTTTGAAACCTCAAAACCCAGCCCTAGTGACATACTTCCTCCAATAAGGCCACACCTTCTAATCCTTCTAATCTTTTCAAATAGGCCACCCATTGGTGACTAAACATTCATGACCCTGTAAGGGCCATTCTTATTCAAACTACCACCACAGTGGGTGTGAGACTGCTGACTGAGCAGCCATCTGAAGGGAAAGGGACTCTGGAATTTCCCAGTGAGCAAAGACGTGCCACAGTGGCTTCTAGAACAACCAGTCCATCCTACAGGCAATGCGAGCAGTATGTCACCTAGACCTAGAGGGCTGAGGGCAGCCTTTATCTGTCACTGAAATTCACCCTGCCTCTGAGATTCCCCTGTTACTGCATCTCCCAGTTCTTTTCTTACTTAGTGCTGATACATTACCCAACAGTTCTGGGAAGCAGGCAGGAAGTGTTACCTCGTGGTCAACGAACAGAAAAGGGGAGCTCAACTCTGAAGGCCCTCAGGCTGCTCTGGAGTGAGGGTTGTTACTAGGCCTGCATTCTAACAGTACAGCCTTCATGCTGTCATCAGAGAAGGGAGGAGACTTCCAGGAATCGGGGTGCTGCCTCTTTTCTCCCCTGACTTGGTTATATTCAGATCTGTGACAGCAGGGTGGGTGGATCTGTATCACTGTAATGAGATTATAATGAGCTCAGCATCCTCCGGAGTGTCAACATGACCTCTACACCAGACCTCATTGATGTGTAGTTCCTGTGGAACGTGAGTGCTAACTGGGTAGCCGGCAGCCAGGAGCGTGTGGTTATCAGCATGCTAGTTGTAGTTTGGGGGAGCAAGTGACACAGCTGGCTGGACAGCAGGCTTTGGTCATTTGAGAGCTCTTGTGTGTAACCTGGGAGCCAAGCTCTGCTTGCTATCCCTGCTCCAAAGACTGTTCTGGCTCCGCAGCTGCAGAGGGACTCTTTGTCCTCAAGCCAGGCAGCTTCTGCCTGACCCCATGTCAGATCACTGGAATCTTGCCCAAGGAACATTTGCACAGTAGACTCCTTGAGAGGAACTTGCCCATGTGTGAACTTTAAAATATGAAATGCATCTCCATTTTGCATTGCCTACTTTGAATTTTAAATGTCACCTCTAAAAATGCAGAAAGGCACTGCTGATCATTCTGATACAAACAAGCAGGAAGCCCAAATGAAACCTCACTTCTTACCAAAACTTGGTCATCCCGTGGGTCATTCTGCCCCTAGTCTCTGAAGTCTGTCTTCACATAGGTGACTCCACCCACGCAGGCCTGATCTCCCAAGCTTACAGAGCCACTAAAGGGTTAGAGGCCACTCCTAGGACTATCCAGCTGAGACTGAGCCCCTCAGCCCAAAGCTGTGTGACCCTGTCCTGACAGTATCCTTCAGAAAACATCACTGCACAGCAAGTTGGCTCTCTGAACATTCTATCTGCTACATGGAGACAGTTCTGATATTTTGTTTGGCCTCCCATGAGGCTTTGTTATGTGAATTCAAGCCATACATAGGAGTATCCAAATGCAGGTGTTCCTGTGGGGCCTGTGGATGAGAATGGGGATCTTCTGCTCCCAACTCAGAACTTGTTACGTTGTAAGCACTGCTGTGGTCAGAACTGAGTCCCCTGCCCTCCGTGGCAGTCCCCAGATCCTTCCCATCACAAAAGTCTGATACCGTCAGAAAGGCAAGTCCCTGTGACACCCCCCAAACCCCATATACACAGTGCCAATTACCAATTACCCTGAGAAGGGCCGTGGAAGCCTTGTAAGCCTTCAGGATCATTGTGGAGTTTTAGTTCCAGGGAAGAGACCTAGATGCAAGGAAAGGACTGTACTGGGAAGTTTGCTTTCTCTCTCTCTCTCTCTCTCTCTCTCTCTCTCTCTCTCTCTCTCTCTCTCTCTCTCTCTCTCTCTCTCTCTCTCTCTCTCTCTCTCTCCTTGCTAATAACAATAACCAAATTGGGTCAAAAAGACCCTCCATGAAAAGACCCATATGCACAAGACCCTGGAAGTACCACTTAATCCCAGTTCAGCCCAGAGTTTTTGGAGCCCCAGGGGGCACATCACCTCTGAGCAGCACAAGCTAATCAGGTGTGTGGGTACCCTGACCTCACCGGCAAGTGTACATTCTATGACTCAAGTGTTGGCTTCTCTCTGGCAGGAAGCAATTGAGTGGAGACAAACAGAATAATGGCTTTGGTGCTCGCAGGGGCCCCAGAGTTTCCTCTATCAGCCCATAGCAAATACAAATACCTGCAGACAGACAGCAAGGGAGGACACGTGAGCTGCCAAGGAGACCAGGTGTCCTGGAGGAGGAAGTTCTACACTGGGTCTGGGGCCCTCTGCTCAATACACTATGGAAAGCATCTGAGGCTTGAAGTCGGGGGCACTCAGGCAATCTTAAGGGAGGCTCTTGTGCTTGGAGAGTGAGGTAGTCTCTAGCCATGTTCCTAAAAATACCCACTGGCAAATGTTGTACATATGCCATGTAACTGAGCTGAGCCATCAGACTAGATGTTGGGTGTTGAGGACGAAAGGGCCAGTTGAAGGCATACTCCTTGGACTAGTGGTATTCACCCTGTTCAGAAACTCCCACTCCAATACAGGTGCCTTGTCCTCACTCAGGCACAGGCTCCTACTGTAGTTGGCCGTTGTTGCCTGGCCAGCACTTCCTAGGGCAGAGATGCATGGCCCTATGGGGCATCCTTTCCATCCTGTAGATATCCGGCCTCCCTTCCCAGGACCTTAGACCTATAGCTATCCTCCCTGCTGAGTTCCCTTCCCAGGGCCTGGGGCCCAGTGTGGGAAGTCTCCTAGTCAGGAGGGTAGGAAATGAAGAGCACTACACTGTGCCTGCACTAGGGTTAGCTTTCCAGTGTGTTGTTTTACCTTCATAACAGGGGCTGTACATTAAGGCTGTGGCCTGGGGGAATTCTGTTCCCCCAGATAATGGAGATTCAAAGACTAGGGTGAAAACCCGTGGGCTCAGAGAGTTAGAATAGCAACTAGCTAACCTTCTCTCTTTGCTGGTGTCCTAGAAACCACTCACTCCCTTCCACACTGCCCCAACCAAAACAAAACAAAGCAAACACACACACACACACACACACACACACACACACACACAGCTCTTCCCTGTCAACCAGTGGCTAACCCCACCTCTTTGAGCCCAGGTTAATTTTATTTAATTAACACAAATGCAACACTTCTTTACATAGTTAACAAATGCAACATGAACAAGTATAACACATCTTTGCCTGGTTTAAGCAAACATTCCACAACACCAATATCTCATTAGGAAATCATAATCTTGGAGGGACACAGGCTACACGACTTTCCACCTGTTGAGCCCCAGATCTCCTAGAGAGTTGTTCGTGTGATGCCCAAGTCCACAGCTAACCCCTCACACTTCTGCCCTGCTCCAGCTGTGGCCCTGAAGTGAGAAGGGTATGAGCACATTGTGAGCACTCGTCCTGGCGGCCCAGTGACCAGGTGTCTCTTCAAGGTCAAAGTAGGGACTTGACCCTCTTGACACAAGCATAGTGGCAAGGACACTCACCCTGGGCCACAAGGATTTCCAAGCATTTCCATCCCAGACATCCATTCCTCTGTGTTTCCCTACCACAGGAAAGTCATGCTTTCATCTGAACTGTGGCCTTGAACCCTTTACTTCAGTTTTGATACACAGTAAAGTGGGTGGAGGTAAAAGGCCCTGAGGCCACACCCATTGTTCACAACTTCTCTTTTCCCATCTGATCAGGCCACCGCCACTGTCTTAGCTGCAGAGATGTGTGCGGGACTCCCCAGGGAGGCATGTGAAAACATAACGTCAATGAGTGTGGGGTGCAGAAGTGGGCTGGGGAGGCTGAATGTTCTAGAGCTCCTCTGGAGGCAGCAGACATGCATGCAATGGAGGCTGGTGCCTGCCTGCCCTCCGCCAGCGACATGGATAGAAAGAATGCTAGAGGCAGGTGTGGTACCCCCGGGAGCTGCTCTGAGTCATAGGAAGATGCTCTCAGCTGAGCAGCCCCAGGAGGACACCAATCCCAGGTGGGCTCCTGGTATACTAGGCCCTACACTCTGCGTAAGTAGCCCCGAGCTTCCCAGAGTCCTTCTCAGCTGCCGGCCTGACCCCGCCTCCTGAGACACCTGACAAATCACATGAAGAATCCTGCCCATATCGGTCACACGAGTCTTTGCTTCCTTTCCAGGATTTGAAGACTGTCCTCTCCCTGCCCCAGTACCCAGGGGAGTTCCTGCACCCCGTGGTGTATGCCTGCACTGCGGTCATGCTCCTGTGCCTCCTTGCCTCTGTCATCACCTACATCCTGCATCAGAGGTAAGGGAGCCCACCTCACCCTACCTGGAGTAATGCCGAGGCCTGCTTCATAGCCAGTCACAAGTGGAGGCTTGGTATGACAAGGCCCCTGTTATAGGGAGAGGTTTGGATAGCCCCAAAACTGTTCTTAGTCTATTTTGGCAGCTCTAATAAGTTGCCACAGAGTGACTGGTTGATAACAATGCATAAAATAAAAATTGTGTATTTCATAGTTCTAGAAATTGGAATCCAAGAGTGAGGGTATTGAGCTGGTTTGGTGTCTAATGAGAACCCATGTCTTGGTTCACAATATCTCTCTCTCTATTTCTCTCTCTGTCTCTCTCTCTGTCTCTCTCTCTGTCTCTCTCTGTCTCTCTCTCTGTCTCTCTCTGTCTCTCTGTCTCTCTGTCTCTCTGTCTCTCTGTCTCTCTGTCTCTCTCTCTCTCTCTCTCTCTCTCTCTCTCTCTCTCTCTCTCGGGTCTCTCTTTGATAAGAGCACTAAATCTATTTGTGAGAACCCTGCCCCAACAACCACATTCTAATGCCACCATGCTGGCCGTAAGTTCCAGTGGGGATCTTGAGAAGCATTCTCAGACCACAGGAGCTGTAGATGTGTACACAGCCATGATGGAGTCCAAGTCATAAGCTGATTGATTTCTTCTGGCCTTGCCCTAACTAGCTAGGTAGAGCTTTAGACATGCTGGTGACCATGGACATTATCACAGCCAAAGGCAATCATACTTTGAGGCACATAGTCCAGCCCTCAGACATCTGCTCAGAGAAGAAGCTGCCCTGGGCATCAGGAGCATGACTTCCTCCTCTGAGATCCTAGACAAGTCAGTCTATCAAACGTGCAGAGGGGCAGGAACGCTACAGAAACTCTTCCAAGCATTGCACCAGTGAGAACCTGCTGAGTTGGACAAGGTCCAGTTGTCTGCCTTCCCCATGGTCTGGTCCTCTGAATGGGTTGCTCCCAGCCCTGCTGAAGGCCTACTGTTCCCACTGTGGACACAATGTGGTATTTCCAGGTTCTTCTCTGAACCAATGGTCTTTAATGTGAAATCTCTGTTTCCCACAGTGCCATCCGGATCAGCCGGAAAGGCCGGCACGCGCTCCTCAACTTCTGCTTCCACGCGGCTCTGACCTTCACCGTGTTTGCTGGTGGCATCAATCGCACCAAGCACCCCATCCTATGCCAAGCGGTGAGTGCTGCCTTCCCTGTGCTGAAAAACAAAAGTGTGCATGCCAGCTTTCTTATCCACTTGGAAATGAATGCTAATTTGATGATCAAATAATATCTTAGTGCGTGTTCGGCTGTTGCTCCTGACGGGAAGAGTGAGGCTCTATAGTGGGTCTGTAGTATAATCCCACTCCATCTGAAGCAGGTCGTTTTGCTCAACATTTGGACATACGAAACAATTCTATCTCTCACTACAGCAACTTGTCTAAGGGCTAGTGGGCCATAGAGGTATACTGTCCAGCAAATGGTGATCTTCACAAGAATGGGGATATGATGCCTTTCCTGAAGACCAGTGAGGCAGGACCCAGGGTGGGCTGAGTGAGACCTTCCAGGTGCTAACCTCACGTTGCCAGCAGATCTGCCAGCCATAGATACCAGTGGCAGCAAAGGCTCTATCCCCACATAAGCCAGAGCATCCCCAGGCATCTCTGCTCTCTCTTAGGGAGAAAGGAGCTTTGAACACCCAGTATGGAAAAGAACAGCTCAAATCACAAGGCACATCGATGTGGCCCGGTTTGCCTGGCTTAAATTAGAAAACAGAAGTGGCCTGTGGCCCCTGGCTAAGGTGACCCTAAAGAGCCTCCTTTCAAAGTCAAGCCCAGGACTGTCCTGTTGGGTTGTGGCTCTGGGTCAAGGAAGAGAGCCATCTGCACCTCCTGCAAGGAGTCTGTGTTTGTCTTGTCTCCAGACCTGCTCTACACCTAGGCTCCATGCGTGAGGTCAGGCAGGGACCCAGGGACCCAGAGCAACTTATCAAAGACCTTGGTGGTTTCTGTCATTGCATTGGTAACATCTTCCCTGAACCATGGGTCCTCAGGTAGTCCTAACTGTTGCAAATTCAGCCAATAGCTATGGGCTGCTGCAGAAATGACCTCCAGCCAATACCTGAAGACCACATAACCCACATTAATGACAATAGCCACACTAACTGGTTCCTCTGCCTTTCCTGTGACCTCTAATCCTACATGGGTAGCTAGCTGAAGGTGATGCTGTCCCTGCAGAGCAGTGGGTTAAAGGCTGCTCCCAGAACAGTCTCACTAAGAGGACACACACCCCTACCTACCTGGTCCCACGCAGGCCCACCTAGCTCAGGCAGGCTTCAGCTGACTCAGCCACTGCTACTTTGTTGCACTACACGCCTTTTGAGACTAAAAGTGTTCTGTGAGCATGACACTCACACCTGAAAGACACAACCCATGTTCTCCTCCCCTGGGTACCAAATATGTGGACTATGAGACACACTCAACCCTGGGAAGCCAGGCCTGGACCAGACAAGCCAAAGAGGCAGTACCACATGCCTGAACGGAAGGGAGAGAAGACAGCTTCCTCCATCGCTGCCTCTATTAGGCTGGAAACAGCCACAACAAGGGCTAGGAAATCCTACTCACTCCTGTTATAAAAGCCTGTCCAGAAGCCATCAAAAAGGCAATTGAGTGGGTCGTTATCTTTATGTCTTTATTCTGCCATCAAGTGCTGCACAGCTGGGGCCTGCTGGCCACATAGTCCATTGCAATCATTTTAGTGCCTCCATGAAGTCCAGCACTGCCCCCATGAAGCCCCAGGGAGGCAGGCATCTGTGGCATTCCAGAATTCTACTGGTGCAGGACCTGGAAGAGAGGTTTGGTAGGTGGGGACAAGTGGGCCTGGAAATATCCTCTGAGCTAAGATCTTTAAGGGTCACGCTCAGGTGAGAAGTCCTTAGTAACAACGCTGGGACTCCAGACGGTGGACGACGTGCTAGTGTAGTATGCACTGCAGAAAGCCGACCTGTGTGGTATTCTGTGGCTGTTCCTGGTGTGACCAGCCTCTATCCATCCCTCAGTTGGCAACACACCTTGCTTCCAGGCAGCGTTAGGGACCAGTGGAAACACATCAGCCAGGCTATGTTGGGGGAAGTTGTGAACAGCAGACTAAGGACGGGGGGGGGGCACAGGTAGGTGAGCTTTTGGAGACACAGAACTGCTGCAGGGCAGTAAGGAAGGGGAGAGAATTCAGGTAAACAAGGGCTAAGGGGAGAACCCCAGTTCCCACAAAGCACTCTGGGGGACAATCTCCTCCACACCAGGACATTTAATTCCCCATGCCTATAAGCAGAAGTGGAGTTGTCTATTGCTGCTGAGCCAGAGGCCAGGCCAGGAAGGTACCTGAGAGGAGCAGGCTAAAAGCTAGATCACTGAGAGCTAGATGTGTCCCCACTTGGACCAGCAACCAGGTGACTGAGTACAGGAGTCCCAGCCCCTCCCCATCCAAGCTCAGCACCACTACCAAACAACAAGGAGAAGTGGTCCAGAGCTCTGGATGGCTGGCAAGAACAGACAGTTGTCATGGCAACAGAAAGATGACCGTGAGTCTCATTAAAGTACTAAGTGACATCATAAACAAAGCAGACGGCTGCTGTTAGTCCCGCATAATGAATGTGCGCCAGTGCTGGCCCCGGGTCCGGAAGCAAGGGAGGGCGTCCTGCTTGCTTCTTCCTTTCAATAGCAATGCTGTCTGAAAGCCAAGCGGCATCTCCCTTGACCTCCCTGTGTGTTCTGCCTCAAGCTGGTGTTTAAGAGACAGAGCCTGGCCTTTGTACACCTTCGCCCACTCCTTGACCATACAGCCGGGATGAGGCTCAGCTTAAGGAAGGAAGCAGCCAGGCCTCCACTCCCTCTCTCCTCCTAGCCCAGCATCCACCCACCTCAAGGCCCTGGACTAATGTCTCAGGGCCAAAAGTCAGGAGCCCTTCTGAGGGTGAGTCTGACATTTCTGTTTGTATATGACAATGACAGCCTCACAAAAAACCTTCCTGCAAGCCATGGCTGCCTGCCCCTCTTCTGGGCACCCTTGGCCTGAACTCTTAGATAGCAGACAGCTCTTGCCACCTAGGTCCAGGACAGTCCTACTCTCGTCCAGGAGGGATGACCTCAGTGTACCTGGAATGTCCATATGCCCACCTCACCTGAGCAGCAGCAAGACCAATGGAAAACTGAAGTCACAGGACATGCTGTGCTTACCCAAGAAGCCATCTTAAACCATAAACAGCTCTTCAATCTTTCTACCACCCCCCAGCCCCAAATCCTCATCAATTATTTTAACATTTGCTCATAAGTAAAAACTGAACTCTGGATTTGATAAATCATTATAATGGTGCAATGTTAGCTTTATTCAGGAAATCTCGGCATTCCTTAAACATTTATGTCCTTTCCGATTATAGCAATATTTTACTTGTCATTTCAAAATGTCAGGTTATTACCTCAAAGGTAGCCTTATTTTATGGAATCAGATGGAGATGAAGCAGTGCAGAATGCGTAATTAGCTAGCGTAAAAGTGCTAGATGGGACCGGCTCCAGCGGCTGTTTCCATAGCAATGAGTCACTCTGACGTGCAAGGGCGGGTTCTCAGAGCCTCAGCCCTGAAGTGCCTTCCCTTCAATTCAATGCCACAACGAATGTGTGTTGGGAGTCCTGCTGTGTAACTGTGCCTGCCTTCCACCTAGGGGCCCCAGAGCGGGGCCAGAGTTCACAGGTAGGTGTGCATACCAGGACCCACAATAAGGAAGGCATAGGCATCTTGCAGGGGGGACCAGGATGGGAAACCAAAAGCTCCCCACCGGTTCGCACACACAGCAAACAGCTGAACAGTTTAAAAGCCGTGGCTGCCCCTGACACATCACCTACCTGTCTTCCTGTTGGTCTCATTTTTGTTACCGTTCCCAAAGAGTTGCAGAGTAGCTGCCAGGGTTCAGTACACTCACAGCAGAAAAAGTCTGGGCTGCACACAAGGAGTCTGCTGTGCTGTGCTGGGGCAGGTGACAGGAGGAGGTGGCTGGCTGACATTCTCCCCTCCAGGTGGGCATTGCACTGCATTATTCTACGCTCTCTACCATGCTGTGGATCGGAGTGACTGCCAGGAACATCTACAAACAGGTGACCAAGAAGGCCCTGCCATGCCCAGGTGCAGACCAGCCACCGTACCCCAAGCAGCCCTTGCTCAGGTATCCAAGAATATTCATGGGCCCCTCCATCACCTGAGCCCAAGAAACTCATGACCACGGACATGCCTGTCCTGTGTCCTGTAAGCCTTCCTCGCCAGACGCCAGGCTGGAGATGATCTGGCCTGCATAAGTGACCTGAGGGCTGGACAGAACTAGAAGGTGGCGCAGTAAGTGGGGGGAAGAGTCTGTGGGCAGAAATGGGGGGCTGTGCTGAGTATGGGGACCAAGAGTAGCATGAGATAGCAGAGCAAGGTCCTGAGGTAAGATGGATCTAACAAGAGGGTGAGGCTAATATAGGGATAGAGACAGGTAGGCCAGGAACAACTTGAAGGGCAGGACACTGCCCATGGTATCTCTGGCTGGAGTCTGGCTGGTCTGAGGACTTGTGTCCCTATACTACATGGTACACTGAGCTGCCCGGTTACTGGCAGAAGGTCCTCCATGCCCCTGGTAACCACACATGGGGCCTGGGCATCTGTGGCTATGGTTTACTTTCTGGTCTCAGTGACACTAAGGCACCTGCTTTTAACTAGTAGAAACCTTTGCACATTCTAGTACTGACTTCATAATCACTGTGCACTGGCCAGTTGGGACCCTGTGGATTAAGAGGCCCTGCTCAAGCTCTGTCCACTATGTTCTCTCCTCCGGGAGAATTCTCAGCAGACTTGGAACCATGTATGCTGGGGCCATGCAAACAACCCTCAAGGACAAAGACAGCAGGGCGGTTGCTTCCCTTTTCCCAGGGTCAGAGACAGAGAAGCCGTAGGACTAGCCCATCTAGGAAACGGCCAGAGTCCTCTCACTTCCCTTAGAAAAGAGCCGTGCTGCAGAGCCATTGAAAGCTGCTTTAGACAGGAGCATGCCTCTAACCATAATAGACAGAAGTTGGCAATAAGAGCCCCGTGGCTTTGTCACTTGCTCAACACCAAACCCCAACACTAAAGTCAACAAAAGCCAGACTCAGAGCAGCCTGCCTAGGAGGTTCAAGTGCCACCCTACGTGAAGCAGACCTCCCCTGTCCTGTAGGCCACTGAGGTTCCACAAGTACCCTTCTTGACCTACCAGGACCTGATGTGCTAGAGTAGTCCATGGTGCTAAGACCCCAGCAGCCCTTGGTCACTGGCATGTCTGACCCTTCCTGTCTTCCCCAGCCCCTTCTCCCATGACTACTAGCTATGGACTTGGTATACATACCTCCCTGGAAGTGGGCACCCAGTATATACATATGTAGGTGCATACCTTCTGTATACGCATGGGAACACAGGTACGTAGCCTCTGTAGATACATGCTGTCCACATATACACACATAAACATGCCCTCCGTAGGTTCACACTCTCAGTGGGTTAATGTCAAGGTGCAAGTTCAGGGATTATGAGGGGTGTCTGCTTGGTTCTCCACTAAAGTCCTGCTTCCCTCTGCTGACTTCCGACCCAGCCTGGGTCTGGTAAGGGAATTGCTGCACCTGGCCCTTCTCAGAGAGACCAGGGGCTAAAGAGAAGGAAGGAGGTAGCCTCTCGTCTCAGGCTCTGTGATGGGCCCTCCGATACTTGACCTTCACTGTTGACTTTACTGACTTGAGAGATGCCCGGGACCAGAAAACTCCATCTGGTATGTCTGTGAGGACATTTCCAGAGACGACTGATGTGTGATGCAGTACTGGAAAGGAAAGGCCCACCTTGAATGTGGGCAGCAGTATCCAATTAGACTGGAGCCCAAATGGAGTGCAGTGAGATAAGGGGGATACCACCCAGCAGGTACAAGCCTCACACTTGCTGAGAGAGTACATCTGTTTTGACTGCCATGCACCATGGACAACAGACTCCATCTTCTTCAGCCTTTGAATGTAATCACACCAGCGACTCTCTAGGGAACTTCCAGGTTTTCAGCCTCAGATGGAGGCATCACTGGTCCCTCCTGTTCTAAGGCTTCCAGCCTCTTGAACTAAGCAGCTAGGGGGATCCTCTGCCTCTCTAGCAGACAGCCATTGTTGGACTACCCAGTCCCTATCATGGGAGCCAACCTAACAAATCTTTTTATATTTTTGTAAAATATAATAATTTTAAATATAAACCTATAGGCATACATCCTATTGGTTCTGTTAGTCCAGAGAACGCTGACTGATGCACCCTCCATCTCTGGAACAGACACCTCTAGCATGCCTTCCTTGATCCAATATCTCACTCAGGTGTCTCTTCCCGGCATACCACAATGGGCATCTCCCTGGATTTGCATCCATCCCTGGTCCTCAAACCCATATCACCATTCACTGAAATTAGTTCCAGAGTCCCAAGAACTGCACAGTCCCAGGAAAGAAGAACCCCCAAAGTGTCCACCAGATGTATGTCCTGCTCATCTGCTCTCTGTACCCCTTCTTACTGGACCCTGGGCTACGACAGGCAGAACAGTCAAATTCCATGGGTACAGCTAGTGGGTTCTGTTTCCCATGTGCAAAGGCCATGTGGCCAGCCTAGCCTGCAGGTTCCAAGAAGAGGTACTAAGAGAGCTGCCTGCATAGGCTTCTGGGAGAGCCCAGGACACACTGTTAGAACTTTCCACATTATCAACAGCCTTCCCATCCTTGAGGTAGCGCTGCAATCTCAGTATTCTAAATACACTCCCTGCTCAGCTTAATGGAGACACACCCACCGCAGGGAAACCTGGTAGAAAAAAATCCAGCCACAGAAGATTCATAGGACTTAGGCAATGAGTACTGTGTCAGCCTGAGACCCTCTGTGTGAGCACTGAGCATGATGCAAACGGTGTCATTGGCACAAGGCGGAGGGTCCTTACTCCCTAGAGCCTCCACATGTGTGTCAGTGCTGTTTCAAGGAGAGAGAAGGATCCACAGAGGCCCACAGGAGAGCAGAGCAGCTAAGCGGGCCTCATTGCCAAGGTTGAAACCAAGTATTTGTTCCTCAACCATGATCGAGATTGGTAGTTTCCATGACAACAAAAAAGATTAGACTCTCAGCGGGGCATTCTGTGACTTTAGATAGTGATTCACCTGGTCTCATCTCCCCTTACTCTCTCGATGTGCATGTGACCACACACACACACACAGAGAGAGAGAGACTAAGGAACTCACTGAGAAGCCCATGGCCAGCCATGCCTTCAGAGAATGGCTCCTGGATATATGGAAAAGCAGCTACCCAGGTCTCTTCCTCAATAGCGGGGTGTCTTGAAGAAGGCATGACCAGCCCTGCTGCCAACAGGATCCTGGCTGGGACCAGGCAAGTGGCCATTCAGGCAGCTTATGTCCCAGAGGCAAGTTATCAAAGGCCAAAATCCCATGAAGGGACAGGTCAGGCACTCACACATGCTCATAATCCTGAGCCAGAGATGAAGAGCGCTGGCCTTGGGCAGTCTGTCAGATCTTTGCGGTTCAGCCTGCAGTGAGGACCTTGTGAGGAAGTCCTGTCATTTTCCAAGGCTGACGTTTCAATTCTGTAGATACAGCCTCTTTCTGTGCATGGAGATCTCACACTTCCCCCAGAACCCCCTGTAGTTCCCAACACAGATGTCTTGGACCTCCTTGCTTACATTTTTTCTTAAGTATATTTTCCCTTTTAATTATCACTATAGCTGGGTGTGGTATCTCATGCCTGTACTACTAGAACTCAAGAGGTTAAAACAGGGGATATCAAAAGTTCAAGACCAACTTGAGATATATAGTGTATTCCAAGCCAGTGGGGATGGCAGAGCAAGATCTTGTCTCAAAAAAAAAATTTAAAAAATTTAAGGAGTCATTATAAGTTGAGACTTTTTTAATTTTCATTTCTAATCACCCCATGCTTGCCTATAGAAATACAACTGGTTTTGTGTGTGGGTCTTGTTTCCTGTGGCTTTGATGAGCTCTCTTAGCAGTTTCAAAGGTGTTTTTGGTTAATTCCTAGAAGCTGTGTGCATGCAATGATTATGTCATTAGGGCCTAGCAACAAAGTTACTCCTCCCATGCCTGCCCGGGTTGTTCTTTTTCTCCCGTCTGGTTAACTGCTCTGGCCACGATGCCAAGACAGTACTGGCCTTCTCCCTCCCTCAGCGTAGCTCACATTTGCCAAGTTCGTTGCGCACTCTACAGAATCAGTCTTTGCTGCATCCACTACCTCTATTTCCTTCCTGTCTCTGCTCTGTCCTTTCTTCTGTGTGAACAGATTTGTTTTGCCTGTCTTCTTAGTTCCTAATCACATAAAATTGGGGGGTTAATCTTTCATTAAAATTGCTGTTTTATGACTGTACGCTTTCCTGTGTGTGGTGTCGCCGGGTCCCCAAGACACAGTGTGTGGTTTTTTCATTCATCTCAAAATAGTTTCTGGTTCTCCTCTTCCTTGGTCTTTGGTTACTTAAGAGGGTGCAGCTTTATTTTCACAGATCGTTAGGTATTAGAAAATGGAGGAAACTGTCTGGAAACTTGTAGAGATTTTTCTTTTTGTGATGATTGGAATGCAGAAATTCCTGGCTCGGCCACAGGGGGTGGTGAGGTTTTAGCTGCTAAGACTCTGTGAGGAGATCTTTGCTACAACCAAGTCTCATTCCTTTATCATGTTTAGAAAATTTTATGTGCCCAGTGGCTCCACAATCAGGGAAGCGGAAAAACTGGGCTGAGAGTAGGTGACACACATCTTCCCTCCCAGGTAAGTCCGGCTGTGCCCAGAGTAGACACTTCCTGCTCTGTTGGAGTGGGAAAAGGAGAGTGGCCAGTGGCGCTGTGTTGTTGGGTGCTTAGTGGGAACTACAGCTTCCAGAGAGTACCAGGTGTTGAAGACACTGGTCAGAAGTCATCCAGGCATCATGCAGTAGGCCCAGAGCCTTGACAGGGCTCTTTGGCCCAAACACAACTGTAGATTTAGGGGGGATCACATCCCTACCTTGGTCCTATCTCAAGCCTCTGTAGGTTAAGAAACTACTAGCAATCAAGAGAAACATTAGGGAAGCCCAGGAGCACAGAGTCTTGGGGAAGAGAGTCCTAGGACCTCAGCTAGGGAACTGGGGGTCTCTGACAA